TCTAGGTGTCACTGTGAACCTGTTACAGAAAGGTATTATCTCCGGTCTTAATAATGTGGAAACTTTACAAAGAAAATCCCATTTTCACGAGACCAACTTTAAAAAATTCAACTAAACCAAATTGAAGTTATCAAATATTTAAGCAAATAAACCTATCTAACTTTTTCAAACATCCTCTATATGTGTTACGTGGTTGATGTCGAAGTAAGTATTACTCGGAATCATCTATTTTTCTGAGTTCCAAGTCGGAATAATCTATTTTTTCGAGTTTTATAAAAAAAATACATTTTTCAGAGTTCTAAGTCGGAAAACAATCAACTTTTAAAAGTTCTAAAATAAAAAAAAAAAAAAAATATTTTATGGCCCTTTTACGCTTCCGTAGTTTACTAAGATTAAAATAATTATAAAGTCTGTAAATTATCGCCCAACTCTAATAGTGAATATTTAAATTTTACCCATATGTAACTTATACGTAAATTTAGAGATTGTGAATTAGGCAGAAAGTGTGTTTACAATTTTTATAGTCACGTTAAAAAAACCAATGAAATAAATGTAATAAAAAAACTATTACTGAGGACTGATTATTGTGGCACAAAAAGTAGTAATATTTACATTATTTCTATAATCAACTGCTGTTGTATTAGCTGGAAAGTAGTGTTGATTTTCAATAAAATTAATGGCCTACTATACAGTACGCCATTCGGAACGTGAGGACAAATTTTAAACGCTCACCCAGGGTTGCCAGATCATTAAGTTCGAATTTCAGTCAACATTTAAAAATCCACCAAATTCAAAACTTTTAGAAGAAATCCCCCAAAAAAATGAATTGTGTTTTCGTAGTTATTTCAAGATTTGAATAAATTTTCATGACTAAAATACCCCAAAATTAGCCATTTTACAAATAAATCCCTAAAAACTAGAAAATATTTAATGCAAATAAAAATGACTTTGTCGAGGAAAATTTTTATTTTTTAAATTAAAGAAAACCTATGTTAAAAGTTAACTGTTAATATCAGAAAATGTACAAAACCGATTCACTTTCTTTAGACATATTATACATGATAGCATTAAATTTATCTAACATTGTTTTACTCGGTCAAAATTAACACAACTGTCATTCATAAGATGGAATCGTAATCTCACTATAGCATCTACACTAGAAAGTACCAGCCTGTTTCGTAGTTTGTTCTTGATTAAATTCCTTAATGAAAATGCCCTTTCCTATGATTTGAAGTATTCGTGCGAAGCGAGTATACCCATTATTGATAATCTCTATTACTCCTGCGCAAATTCTATATCCGCTTAAAATCATCAAAATTTGTTGTAGAACATGTTTTTTTCTTCAAACTTGAAAGTTTTCCACCTCTACCAAGATGGCAGCAAACGTTTTTCTATATTGGCCTTTTTTTTATAGAATAACTACACATTGTTATTTGTTGCAACGATGCCAAATATTTTTTAATAATTTGTGTTTTCTTTTCGTAATGAGTAAATTACTTCAAGGATTTGTATTGCTGTTGTCTTATTTGACGTTTGTGGACGTTTTAAAATTAGCTGAATCCGCTCTCACAAATCTAAGATTCATGTTAAATACTTACAAACGATTCAGAAATAGAAATATAATACAGACTTGTATGAAATAATTTTAGTTTCAAACCGACATATTTATGAATTTTCTGACATTTGGTTTATTGGGGAATGATGTTGCAATTGAATCGATCATTTGAGAAAGCCCATAGTCACAAATTTGACATATTCCAATAATGGCAGATTCTTATTGCTAACACTTCGGTGCACATTCCAACGAGAAATCTTATTAGTGGTAGCACACCTTGTATTAAATTTTCAAACGTCAAAATCTGTTTTATTTGAGAAACCCCATAAGTCGCTGACGAAAATTGTGTTTCTCTAATACACGCGGCACAAGAGCTAATATAATTAATTAGCTGTCGCAGATTGACCGAAATTATGTTGGAAATACCTGTGCGATCCGTAGAGATGGAAGGATTAATGCTCGGGTGAAAACATCACTTTCTAATTACATACATTCTTTTAAAACACTATTGAAACTAAGTTAATTTTATTACATGGTTTATTTACAAACTACATACTATTTACACTATATACAGACTTTTTTTCGGAAATTTGTTACTTAAGCACTCAAGCCATCTTGTACACCGCAGAACGATGTATTTGAGAGGTACTGAAGCTCTGCTAGATTGAGAGTGACGCTCGACGTTGACCAATTAGGAAGTGCCTAACGTCGGTGTTTTTATGAATGACGTTTTTGACGTAGCTATTAGACGGAAGACCGTTCTTATCGGTCAAGGCAGTACCGCAGAGACGACTCCAGGAGTAAGAGGCAGTGCGGCTTGCAGAGACGTATCCAAGAATAATAAAGAATTGAGAATGAAAGCTTGGCGCAATGTTGAATACAATTCAACAAGCAGTATAAAAATATCACTTAAAATAAGTCAGTATGTGCATTTTAAACATTTTTTTGAAAATAAAGGAGTTCTTGTAACAAAATCTATAGATACTTGTGATACATTTCGAAATACATCAACACAACCTTTGACTCTTCCCATCAAAAAGGCTTATGTTGGAAAAATACCTATTAACAGAAGAATGATCTTGTCAAACTAAAGCAGTATCTTCCGGAATGAGAAGACGTACTTGAATTTTATAATGATAATTATAACTGGCCGACTGTTAAAAAAGGATAAGGTTTTAGATGAAATTTTAAATTAAATAAAAATATTGTTAAATAAACATATTATTTTATTAAAATATGTAGTGTTATTGTCTAAATAAATTAAAATAATATCCGTATATTTGAGAAACCCCACAAGTCATGCTTTAAAAAAAATATTTTGGACTCTAGAAAAAAAGAGCACAAGTTGTTTTGACACTATCAAATAGTAAATCAAGCTAGAAATTTTAGAAAAAAAAAAAAAAACAATGCCTTGTCTCACACACAAACGATTTATGAAAGTTTTTTTTAATTTTTACCAATTATTTAAATGCACAGGGTAACGCCTAAATGCAATCAAGCGGTTTAGGTTTGTAACCAATTCTCCTGCTTGTCGAAGTAAAAAAAAACTTGGAATGTTTATTATAGCTATTATTTATTTAAAATACAAAATTTTTAAAATATATTATACTATCAGTAAATTTTTATTTTTATTTTGTTGCAACACCACTTAATGTATTGCAACAAAATTTAAATTTTCTGAATTTATTTTTTACACGTCACGGGACATAGGGGACAAATTTTCAACTTTAACAAAATTATTTCTTCGGCCTCCAGTGATATCTGAACAGCAAACTTTTGCTAAAGTACTTTATAAGTGGTAAAGTTTAACATGGAACAATAAAAAAATTTGACTGTCATAGTCCATTCAGCCTTGTGTTAATGTGTACCAAAAAAACTATCACTACTATATAGACTCGATGACAGTTGTTTAAATTAACGATGACATGGAGCAACAATTGTAAGGCGAGGATAAGAAAGGGAACAATTAAATTGTTTGGAAAATTACTAGATTCAATATTCGCTTTTTTCGCGCATGAGCAATGCGAAATTGTTGAATAACGGGAAAGGTCCATTACCATTTTATTTCTGTAGCATCTATTCAGTCATTAATTTGGATAATATTGCATTTCTCAGTTATTATTAATTTTGTTTTAAAATTACATATTGGCAAAACCGAACATGTTTAAAGTCTTTAGTGTGCATGATTAGAAGTACTATATGACATGTTGCGCGAATTCAAAGTGGTCTACTTTTGGATATAGGCTCTAGCGTTCCATTATAACGTTATAGTTCATTGGGTAGATTTGAATCAAATGGTATCAGATCTAAAATCCCCTGTTATTCCCCAGGTAAATATTTTTTCCCCAGAAGAAATCCCTAGAAAAAAATATACCCAAAAAAATAAATCCCCTAATTTTTGGGGGAATCCCCTAATCTGGCAACCCTGCGCTCACCTGCCTCATGAGGCCCGTCGTCCACTGGCCTCAGCGGCACAAGCGCAATGAGATCTTCGTACGAGATCTATGAAGGCTTGTTTTGGTTCTTTCTCAAATTAGTTCAAAATCACTGAATTACACTCGATCAGCTAAGAGGTCGTTGTAACCTCGCGACGTGATCTTGAAAAATTAATTCGTCAACTGTATTTGACAACTGGAATCGACGGTTCTGTTTGAACCAAAACAAACCCTGAAGAAACCACATCACACTATTTACCAGTTTTTATAACAATCCTGAGGTCAGTCGCAAAAGTATTGCGTGCGCCTTGACCAGGCTTGGTATATAGGGTGTTATTGAAATAAATGTAGATATTAAAGCAGATTAGACTATCCTTGAATATTATCGAAAAATATCAATTAATGAAAGTGTAGCGCAGGTACAGTTTGTTGGTAGAATCAAATAACGAAAAGGTAGATATTTCGTGACGAGAATAATCTTTGGTGCAACAGTGTAACAACAACTATGGCGAGGAGGGTATTATCGCATTACGTTTGGTCCCTGCTTAGCTAGATGTAATAATGAATGACAGAAATTAATTTTCATTTTTAGTAGCAAATTAGCAAATAATAATTTTAATGAATCGACAGATTTAGACTGGAGATTTGGTAAGCGTTTTTCGAAAAGTAATACTGAGACAAAACATTTTGTCAACTTACTCTCAAACATATGTGTGTATGTATTAATTATATCTACTTATCTGTATGTCTTTGTATATTTACTTTCTCCTATATTATAATTCTAAAGATTAATCCTTTTATTTTGTTAAAAGTATTTAGTTTTTAAGTGGTATAAATAAATATGTACATATAATTCAATAACATCCTATATAATTATTTTTTAATCCCTTCATGCACCGTAGAAACTTCTGCACACATCAAGAAGACCGTGATTCGTATAATTAACACGTTAGTACCGTTGGACTATTAGTAAATCGGAATAAAATCAATGAAATACACTCAGTACTTACCGTCTGTAGAGCTTCTGACATAGAATGAAAGGAGTCGATGAGCGGACTGGACTCGTGCGGCGGTTCTTGCTTGATCAAAGGCGAGGATATTCTCATATCCTCAGGACCTGAACTCGTATCCCTATCGACCGGCGATATGGGATTTAACTTTGGTACATTTGTATTTGACCTTTGAGATGCCTGAAATTTTTTTATATAAACGTAGAAGTGCGTACTATTTAAAAAACAATCTGCTTAAAATTAATTTACTTGCTGTAGTTACTTGACCAAGAATTTAATTTGTTTGTAACCGAAGAATGATTAATAATAATTGTTTATAGTGAACCATCCAATCGTATTCAAACAATTTTTGTAACCTAAACGAACCCTGTCGGTTATAAAATATTCAATAATATGCAGGTAGTCTTAATCTGTTGGTAAATTCAAAGAACGTTAGAAAGCAACATACAATATGAATTAAAAATATTCAATACACAATTAAGTGTAATCTTACTAATAGTAACACAAATAAAGGTAGTACCTCTTTAATTTTCTTTTAATATAATTCCTTAATAGTCAATAGGCAACATGAGTTATCATCGATAAACATTATTTGATCTTCTCACATTAAGGAGGTCCTTTCGCCACACCTCTCGCCTCCAATGTTAAAAAAAAAGTTATTAGATTATGACTAAAATTAATTTTTTTCTAATAGTTAAAGTCCTTATTTATCTAATACTGAACTTTTAACTATACCTTACCTTGCAAATTTTTGAGAATTTTTTTTTTAAATGTGAGTATTTGTACAGTGCTTCACGAGAAAGTAAGTCCTCAACAACAATTCTCGAATTATACTATTATTTATTGATTAGGTGGAATAGAAAAAAAACTAAAAATAAGGTTTTTGAAATATTTAGATTTTGTTTTATACAATAAAATATATATAGTAAACCGTGGAACTTATTGAGAAATTAATATTAAAAAATCACAAAAAATTTTCAACTAACCTAGTTGAAAATTTTTTTCAATTCAATGTCTTTTTAAAGCTTCTAATGTAAGTAAAATAATGTATTATGTCTAAATATAGTTATTGTAAACTAGTCACAACACATATCTTACGAAGTGTAGTTTATTTTATTACAAATTTCAAACGATAATTACACATTAAATTTAACTTACTAGAAAAAAATTTTTTTTATAGAGTTTTAATGTTAGAGTTGCTACTGTTATTTTTTTGTTGAACCCCAATTTTGTCATTGTAAATGTTTTTTATAGGACCTTAAACGCTTAGAACAGGGCCGATAAAGCACTTTCTAGAGATGGTGCTGTTCTACACTGTTTAGAAGATATTTCCAAATATGAGACTCTTACTGATGGTATTGTTAGCAAAGTAAAAAAGGGAAAGCCAAAATTAAAGGATGAAAACAATATTATGTACATTCCCAAATCTCCCTGTATTATAACAATAAAAAATCAGCTGTGTTTTATCTTGCTCTTAAAGCTATATTTCGGTATAATTCAAAAACATTTAGACACAAAATTGTACTTACAAAATTTCACCATTTAACAAACCTTTTCAAATTTGGCCATACCCACCTAATTTGCGTTTTATGTAGATGAAATAAATAATTTATCAATTAAAACATGCGAAATTTATTTAGAAATAAATACGAAAGAATATTTTGTGCTTTATTTGACAAAAAACAAGTTTATTTTTATTATTTTGACAATATTATGTAAAATTCCCATAAAAAGCCATGTATTTTGAACAGCGCTAGCAACACCAGCGCCCTTGCGGTAAATTAAAAAAGCTCAATTAGTTTGGGACCGTATGCCGATTTCGCCCCCTAATCTTTAGTCTTCATAGCTATAGATACAAATATGATATATTATAGATATCATCTACAAGTCAGTTACCTAACTGTCAAAAACATTAATCAAGCCAGCACGTCAGGGGCGGAACACTGGGATCCACCCTCGTATACACACTATTATTGTATCTGACGTTATGCAGTGGCGGCGGTAAACATTTGCCCCCCCTCCGCAAAATTATGTGATAATATAAGTACTAATTGTCAGTAGCTTATCTAGACATGTTTTTTTTTGGGGGGGCGGGACTCAAACAATACAACCGTAAAGAGAAAACATACGAAATATGAGGTTTGATAGGGGCCCGGACCCTGGGCCTCTCTGGCACCACTCTAGATCCGCCACTGCTAATTGTTATTATCGTCATGAAATTAAAAAATTTAAATAACGCAAGACATATAAAAAATTTACTAATGTAAAATCTGCTAATTGCAATGTTGCATTCCAAATCACCGTTTTTTTACTTTTGAAGTCGGATTTCCTGAACTTTATTATTTGATAAATAATTTCGGGGAGGGTTCTAACCCCTAAAACCCGTCCCCTAAATACGGCCTTGTGGGGCTCCCACTCGGCTAGGACCCCCCACGCCGCGGTGCTTGTGGGGGCCTTTTCGCCGCCACTGGTTATATTCTGAATAAAGTTTATTATAATTATGATGATGGGTGAGGTTTTCCTCACCTGTAAGTCAAATGGCACCATTAATCATCTTTAAGTCGCCCCGAAGCGCCACGGTAAATAATAATAATGGCCGTCCCTTCCTCTACACAAGTCGTTCAGTCAACTTCAAGGGTTGAAATTCACTCGTAAGGGGGTGAATTAGGGAGAGTATTATTATTATATTATTAACTAAATAAATATTATATGAAACGACCATTCACGACATTTTTCAGTAGGTCAAGCATTTTACCATTTTTTACATTTACATGATTTTTTTATAATAAAGCAAGACCATACTCGTAGAATCTTGAGTTACATTCTTTTATACCTACATACAATTAAAACAACATACTAGTAAAGTTAAAAAAAAATAGCTAAGAGTTGTAGTTTCTTAATTATACATTTTTTGCTACAAATGGGCTAATAAAAGGAACAAATATTTTTACACGGGCAGGCCTAAGGCAAAACGCCCAACTAAAGGGAAAAAGGACCCAAATATTTTTACATTGTCAGACTTGAGCGTTAAAAGGCTGAAATATTTTTACAAAAACTATTCAAACAATTTGTAAATCCTAATCAGAATATCAGAAGGCGACATGAAATGATTTCTAAAAACCAGGGCTAGCAATGTGAAGATTCGTTTAGCCTAAGTAACTCAAATGCTTCACAAACCTGAAAATTCAACGTCTCAATACTTCTAATCGGCTTTCGGTCTTTCGTTCAAAATCAAATTGTTTCTCGTTTCTTTTATGTTACGCATTGTCCGTGGCTCGTAGAGGCCACAAATTTAGCGTTTCAATATTGACATGACAATAAGGAACACCCTTTATAAAAGTAAAAATTGAGATTCGTTAATAAGGGTGCCTTTTAAAGGGGTCACATTGTATAAGGACCGGACACTGTAATATTTTACATACCTACCCTATTTATATGATTGTTATTTACCTATTATATTTTTTTTGTTAATTTAAAAATGAATTTAAATTAATTACGGAACCATTAAACCAACCTAATCTTTATTACAGATATTATTTCACTCTCGATGTTTATTTTAAAAACGAAAATATACACAATCGAATTGTAATCTTATAAAAAATATTTACATATATGATGGGCGTTCGAAAATATTAATTTATCGACTGTAAAAATGCAAATATTTACAAGTCAAAATCTCGAACCATGAATTGATAATATTAATAATAAGAGATATAGAAGAGTGTATTCAGTGCACATGTAGACTTCAAATTAATTCTAATCAAAATAAGTCAAGGCTGAAGGACTTAGGTCGACGACCTTTTTTCATTAATCATATGTTAAATAAAATAATAAAGCAGTTTTGGTCTGCCATGAGATTCATTCTAAAAATTTTAAGCGTTTTTCAATAATGTAATAAATTCATTATTTCAAAAATAGACGATTTTTTAAAATAAATCAAAAACACTTTAAATTTTTGAAGGGCCATCAGAAAGTAAGAGGTATACATTAAAGTTTAATTTTAAGAAATTAAGTTTTAACAAAAAGTAAAAGAAATTTAATTGCTTGGATGATTGGATTTTACTGTTAGGTTAAGATATAAGTAGATTTACCTGTGAAAAATTAGAATAATAAAATTGAGAAAAAGTTTCGGGCCATCTTAAAGAGATATCCTCAAAAGTGGTAGAAAATCAATTCTTAAAAATACCTGACGTGGTACACTAATCGACTGTTGTTAGAGGGACGTTTGTTTAAGAAAAGGCGGATAAGCATCTCCTTTAAAAAATACTTGATATTTTTTTTTTAAAAATCAGCAAATCCTAATAGATTTAATTCCGATTTTTTTTTAACTCCGTTAAACAATTAACGAAACAAGTATTTTTCGAAGGGTTAGAAAAAATCAGAATTTTATAAAAACTAAGTCTCCGAGAGTATTAAACATTTTTCAAAATGTCGGTTTTCTCTTAATTATCATCCTAAATTTTTTGATAAATCAATAATTTTAATTATATTAAAAACATAACTATTATAGTTTGTCATATAAATATGTTATATTTGTGTTATGATATAAAATAAATAATGAATAATATCGAAAACATTAGAAATATTAAAATTTGTATAAATGGATAATTTTTTATTAGTCATTTAGCGGTTTTTATGTTTACATAAATTATCGAGAAATACAAATAAAAAAATAATGAAACGAAAAAAATAGCTCTACTGTTAAGACAAGAGTTTTTTTGTAAATACAAATTGCCGTTAAGATTATATAAAGAAATGATTCTATATGTTTCCAAAATAAAAGTGACATCTGTTTTTACTTCCCTCTAGGTTAGGTTAGGTTGAAAATGAGTGGGATGATCTCATCGCCCTCCACTGCGACCCAGATGGGTCTATTGTGGTTCATAACTAACTTATAGTTCACCGTACAAGCCACACCTTCTATAAAAGGGAAGTATTGTAATCGAGAAAAAGTCACATTCCGAGATTATTTCATATTTTCACGTTTTAGGGTCCCTAGATTACGAAAAACATGTTTCCCCATTCCGTCGGTCTGTCTGTTGGCGCGATAGCTCAAAAACGGCTTTATAGAAAAACTTCAAATTTTGTGAGCAGATAAGGTTCCTTTCTGGCTCAAACCCAATTATACTTCCGATCAGTTATATACAGGGTGATTAGTTTTTAAAATAAAAATTATTTTT